GAGGGAAAGAGATGGGGAAAGAGAAAGCGATTTCGTGCTGGCTCGTCTGAACTCATCCCCATCCCCGCGGTTGGCACTGCCCCAATTCTGTTGTTCTGATTATAATTAAGTGCTCGCGATTATTATTCTCCAAAAGAACCGTGTCAGCGGGGGAGGGGGTTGCCGTTGGCTATGACATTGCTTAGCTCCTAACCAGTACATAGTAGGTAACAGAGCCTAGCAAGGGGGACGAACATGTTGTTTCTGGCCCAGGCGCAGGCGTAGGGGCGTTCCCTGGAAAGAGCTAAGTTAGCGGTTAGAAGAAACCGATAAAAAACACGATGGGAGATTTGATAAACCACCGGCCCGTGAGCAAAAAAAAATAAAAAATAAAAATAAAAAATAAAATAAAATAAAATGTGCGGTTTAATCAACGGAGGCATCCCCCGCCCCCCCAGCGCAGCCACCAATGCCCCCAAAGTCACCTTGGGGCTTGCAACGTTGCGATCTGCAGCCCAGGTCCATATTTCCTTTATTTTATTTTTATTTATTTGATTTATTTTCTCTATCCCAGCGCTACAAAAAGTAGAGAAGACGTACTGTTTCTATACTGACATATGTTATAGTTATATATATATATATATATATATGTGTGTGTGTGTGTGTGTGGGTGTGGGTGTGGGTGTGTAAGGGAAGATTTCACAACGGGAAGGGTGAGGTGGAAGCCCTTCTTGAAGGGGCAGTCGACTCGAGCCTCCCTTGGAGAAATAGGCGGCTGCAGGTGCGAGAAATACTACGCTGCAGTAGGGAGAGCAGAATCTCGAGGGAATTTCGGGGCAAGTTGTACCGTGGTGGGGAGGGGTGCTTGCTTACTGTAGCTGCGGAAAATTCTTCGTATTCTTGTTTGCCTTTTTTTATTCCCTGTTGCTTGTAAAAGCTGGGTCTGCCTGGAGCCGGGGAAAGAGTATGCTTAGGCGGTGTGATTGGGGAGGAATGGGGGTTGTCGCACACGCCCAGAGCAATATTTGGAGGCTAGGCATCTAAAACGCACCTTGATCAGCCGCCAGAGGATGTGGGCTATTAACAAGAAACAAGGAAAAAGAAGCCAGGAGGAGGAGGCAAAATGACAATACGAATACTTCTCCCCATAACGGGAAGAAATCACGAACATCAATGTGATGCCTGGAAGGTTATATTAAAGGATAATAATCCCCTCATATTTATTGAGATATAGATATCCAGTCAGTCAATTTACCGTCATGTGGGAAATTGAAATAACTTGTTAGGAGAGGGAGAATGAACTCAGATAAGCTCTGAAATGGGCAGTATACGCTGCGTAGAAGGAAGGCTATATACTGCACTGTAAGTTAGAAGGTATAGTTAGAAGGCTGACAGAGTTTCTTCCATCATCGAACTGGCAGCCGACCTCTCGCTGCTAAAGGTCCCTCACGAGAACGGCGCACAAGAGGCTGGGCAAGGGCGACAAGCACAAAACGGCGTTAGGTGACTGTGCTGGGCAGCAAACTGACTTCTCAGGTTGGCTGTTAGGACCAATTCCCAAGGGCCCAAGACAGCCAATAGCGTCGAGCGCTACTGGGGAGGGGAGGGGAACAAGAGTGGACCGACTCCCGGTGACTTCAGTAGGGAATCGAGGAATCAGGCGCCGTGAGTACGTGCCTACAGCGGTGCCAGGCCTCGCCTCGGGCCAAATATATAGGCACACGCACAGCACGCGCACTGCAGCCCGCAGCCCGCAGCCAGCCTTCGGCCCGGCCAGGCCGAAGGGCCCGCCTAAAAGCGGCGCTGGGTGCCAGCCGTGGGGGGTTTAGCCTTTCCGGCCAGCCAACAATGAACCCACAACCCGCCCTAACCGGGAAAGGACTGTGTTCGCCGTCCAACGTCCTCGTCCACGTCCACGGGTGGGACTGCCGCCGACGTCCCAGCTGCGATCCCCCGGCGATACGGGCCCCGACCGCTTGGGTATTTATTAATCCAGGCACATCCGCCCTCTTCCCGCTCTTCTCGCTCTTCTCTCCCTTCTGCTTTCTCCTGTTTTCTCCTTCCTTCTTCCCCCCAGAGTCGAACACACTGTATCCTGACGCTCTCCGTTTCTTGTTGGCGCCATCTTGTGGATGTTTTACCTGCCACCCGCATTAACGTTATTCTCTAGCAGCAGCAACCCCATTCAACACACACACACACACACACACACACACACACACACACACACACAGGCTGCATCGCGAAACCAACTCAAGTCTCTTTGTTTTTTGTTATCGCATCATACCCGCACGCGCCCAAGATGTCGAGGAAAGATGACAAGTCTAAAGAGAGTACCGCCATTGTAACGGTCAACATTGATGATTTCACCAGAACTCGCGACAGCGTAAGTTTGCATCTGTGGTCCTTGTTTTTGTTCCTTGTGCCCTGTTCCCGTTGTGGTGCTGGGTTGTTTGGTGCCGCTCCTCCCTGCCCCAGCGCGTCAACTACGCGAGCCAAATCAAAACAAAAACAACCCCGATTAGGAA